GCCTTTCTTTTATGGAGGGGAGGGGAGGCGAGAGCAGAAGATTAGCAGAACCAGGCACAAATAAAAATTGAAAAAATCCGCAGCGGAAAAAAATAAATAAATAAAAGCAGTGTGAAGAGTTGCGTTGCTTACACGTCACAAACTCGTGTCAAAAACGCAGGCTATACTCTGTTTCACCTAGTGTTGTACCGCAGGAAAGGCTACAAGCGCGAGCTCCTTGCTCTAGAGCACAGCTCGACGGTACAAGTTCTCGTGCAACAAGGGCAGCTGCCAACGCTATGAGCTCGCGCTTCTGGCCTTCTCTAATAAAACGAAGAGACGCGCGTGTGGTTGCCCTTCACTTTTATTTTTTTTTATTTTCCCCTTGTTTTTCTTACTCCGCAAAGCGGACATAGTACGAGAAAACACGCAGAAGTAGGAGAGCAAAGAGGCTCCTCGGCGGGCTTTGCCGTCTCGCGCGTTTCTGGGGTATTCGTATTCGAGTTTGGATCATTGGTAAAATGTATGGGCTGCGCGGAACTGAGCGCTGCGTGACAACCATACGTGCGTTCATCGGTGGTTTTGTACGTCACCACCATCGGCAAAGTGGGCGACTGAGCACGTCTACCGGTGCAAGGCGAGCTTCGCGCGGATGATCACGGAGGATGATGATAAAAGCGGCCGACGCGATCGCGGGGTGAAACGGTCGACGGGACGATACGCATTCAACCGGAGTCTGGGTTGTTTAATGCACAAGCCCTAGCACGTCCACACACACACACGCACAAAGAAACATTACTTGTGAAACTGGAACGGAATTAACACAATACAATTTTCGCATAAAATGCACACAATCGCCGATGTCGTGTTCGCGTTGACAGCGCGGTTTGTCGGTCGTGGGAACAGCGCCGTCACTTTCGAATAGCCAACAAGATCCGACCCGACATGAAGAAGTCGGAAGCGCCATCCGCCGCCCTCGCGGCTCTCCGCCGTCACTCTAGCCGATGTATTTTTCTCCTAGCCGAGCTAAACCATTTGGCGTAGTCAAGCCAAGACGCCTTGAAGTTTACTTTTCGGCCGCTAACAGCGCTTGACGAGGTCGCCCGAGGTCGTATCACTCCCACCCCACCTGTCCCCTCCAACCCTTCCACACATTCCCGAGACCCGTCCGTTCCCCCTTCCTCTCTACCATAATGACCCGGCTGTTCCCCCTTCCTCTCTACCATAATGACCGCACCCTTCTTAGCATACGGAGCGGACCACCCCACCCACCAAAAGCTCCCCACGTTATCGCTGCAATCAGCGTGAGACTCCCTCCCTCTCCCCCTCATTAGGGAGGGTCCCCGTTTTGAAGGCGGATTCCGGGCCGGATTCCGAACTATACCCAATACTTATTTCTACAGTCGTGAAAATACCGTCCTCCTCTTACTCCCCCCTCCCCCCCTCCCCTCCCCCTCCCCTCCCCCTCCCCCTCCCCACCCCCGGTCAGGGTGTCCCGCATTCCACCAACAGGAAGGTGGTCACCCTAGACCGTGTGTTCGCGTATCAGTAGTGTAACAAGAAGATGAGATCGTAAACTGTCGGGCATTGATGCCGAAGGTCGGGCCGTGATCGGAGGGGGCGGGGTGTCGCAGGTTGACATTCCGCTTTACATTAAAAAGTTTAAAACCATTTGAGGGATTACGTGCAATCGATCAACGTGCGGATAGCCATGTTGGAACGCTGGTCTGAACAGTAGAAGCTCCTATCGTACAGTGGCCAATGTGACTGTCGGAAGTGTCTCGTCCCCGAGAGCGATTGCGCTCTGGGGCAAGGACTGAACAGTACGAAATCGTGACGGAAACTACGTAAATTTACTGTATGGAATTTCGGCATTAAAAAACAATAGTAGGTAAAGTCGAAAACAAAAAGCTACCCTTTATTTTGCTGTTTAAATATACTACGGTTCCTGGACAAACTGCCCTCCAAGTGGCGCGCTGGGATGAGCGCTAGAAGCTTTCGGGCTCGCCACGGCGTAGCTCCGTACACTTAAAGGGGTACTCCGCCGATTTTTGAGCTACCTCAACTAACTATATTTTCTGACTCCCAGGCCTTTACCCTTTCTGGTATGCTATTTAGTATCGTGAAATTCATAATAGTTATTGCGAAATCGGCAAACGAAAATGATGCAAAAACAGACATTCAAATATACCCGCCCTTTTCAGGGCCGTGACGTCAGTGGAAGTTCAGCTTGCCAGTCGGGCGAGCAGTCTAAAAAATAGAATATGTCAATCATTTGTTCCGTGCTGGAGCGCGGGGACTGGAGCGAGCTTCCAAGGCATTCATTTGACACCATGAAACTGCTTCGAATCAGTTGGGAACAAATTCTACAGTCCAAAGAGTGAACACCTGCACTTCCAATGACGTCACTTTTTCATTGTTGCCAGTAGAGACTTTCAGTTTGAAAAACACGGTGAGGACCAAAATTGTAAATTCAATAACTTCGTGAAAAAAAATTAATTTGACCTAATATTTGGGATACTATATTGGCGATGTTGTTTGGCGAGTTTAGCAAAATTTCAAGCAAATCGGGGACCATGAAGAAATCGGCGGAGTACCCCTTTAACACCTGCCGCAAGTCGCGGCTTTGACCGCATTCAAGTTGATCGAAAAACGATTTCTCAGCCCGTGAAGCATCACTTCCAGCTGAGTGAATATCCGCTCTACAGAGGTTGATTCAAGACGGCAATTGCAGCTTTGCGCGAACAGCACACATAGAAAAAACAATAGAAATACACGCTACGACGTGCCGTGTGGGGAAACAAACTCATGACTTCGAACCGCATTGGAGAGGCTTTATTTATTGGCTTTCCAATAATTACGGCATGATCGAGAGTTTACTTTTTAATAAGAGATTCATCCCCTGAGCCATTCAAAATACTCTCAGAGGTATGACATTGCTGGGAAAAAATCAACATGCTGGGAATATTTTTTATTGCTTAGGGAGTCACCGAAAAGTTCTGTACGTTCAAAACGACCAGTATAAAAGACGGAAACGCAGAGCACGGGTGTAGCGTTCGAGTTAGTGTGGTGTTCCGCTATATTGCTATTTGTGTCTGCCGTGTATGTGCTCAATGTATGTTCACCTGATGCTTGTAATAAGCGTAATAAGCGTAATGTGTGTATAGTGGGGGATCCTCAAGCGCAGCAGTGGCCTGAGAGAAGCAAATTATTTTTTGTATAACATGAATTGGGCGGTACCTAGCGCCACCTAGCCTAGCTACTCGCAATTACTCTGCTTGACCCCGCCATCTGGTGGCTGGCGATTTACCCTTCTTTCACACTACGCGATAAACAGCGGCTTCGAGTTTGTTCTTTCGAGAGCGGCTTTTGCTTTCGCGGATTGAGTTTGCCCTTCTCCGTGATGTGCGGTTGACGAAGGAATTGTGACTCGAGGAACACCAAAGGTAAGACGCAAAGTGCGCGAAGTAACTGGGTATCGGTTGTCTCCGTTTAACATCGCAGTGCTGTCGACGAGAAGACTGAGTAACTGCTTTCGAAACGCAAGTTTCTATATCTGGCTTAGGAAATAAACACAGTTTGCGGAAAGCTCGTGTTACGCTTTCATTTGTTGCTCCTCTCGTCCCGTACAAGACACGTAGCGTCCTCGTTAAGCCTTATTGAGCTCGATTTACTTGATTCAGGGCCGCCATAATGAAATGCAGGCGACGGAGGAACTAGTTGCTCCCCTGCTTCAGGGACGAAGGTTTCTCCCTTTCTAAAGGAACATAGGTTACAAGACCGTCCCTCCCCTAAGGGAGGACTATCCATACCCTTTTTTCTAAGAGTGAGGGGGGTGTATGCGGAACGCAAGTTCGTCTGCTTATTGAGCAGGGGTTGCGGTGACGTTAGAACGCCGAGCTCTGATTGGTTCCGATTGGAAGGATAGCAGGTAGACCTCAAGGTAGCTATAGCATTGAGGTCTACACCCACTATCCCTCCATCCGAATCAATCAGAGCTCGGCGTCGAGCTGTTGCCAACATAGCTCTTTCAGAAAGAAGCGGACGAGCTTGAGGTCCGCACTGACTCGATGTGCACAAACTCTAAAAAAAATTGCACCTGTCACAAGCTGTTCAGTGGAAAGGTCTATGGTCACCGACCGACCGGACTGGAACGCCAGGAAGGACTTTCAGTTCCTTTTCCTCTTAGTACTGCATGACTATAAGTTGTTCCTACTTGGCTATACTCCGCGACAACTTTTCTTGGCAATGCAATGGAAGGTACAGGAACGCGTCCCCTCTCCCATTTTGAGTGTGCACGGGCTCTCCTCCTCTCCCCAGAAATGGGGTAAGAGGAGAGCCTGCGTACACTCAAAATGGGAGAGGGGACGCGGGCCTGTACCTTCCACTGCATTGCCAAGAAAAGTTGTCGCGGAGTATAGTACGAGCTGTTGAACGGCCGCGCTCAAAAATAGCGTCATCTGCAGGGAGGCGAAAGAGGGGGAGACGGGGCACTTTTTCGTGTACAGGAACTCTAAGTCACGGTCGCACTGCCTGTTCATCACACAGAAGACGGACTGCGGACACTGTCTGAGACTTTCTTGTGTGACGGTCATACAGTAGTCCCACAATTAACCGCCTGAAGGCATGCCTGAAGCATACGTAAGAACCAAACATTCTTCGAACATGGTTGAGGCGTGTCTGCTCCATACTGTCTTTTTTGTGTGTTCTGTGCTCAATGTAACTGCGGCTTTAGGGAGGCTAAGGAGGCAAGGCATCCCCCCCCCCACAAAAAAAACAAAAAAAACAAACAAAAAAAACTTAACGATTTTTATTTTTTTTATTTCTTTTTGCGTTTAGAAGAACTCCAGAGTGGGTATTGATATAATTGATAAGTATCGATTATACGACAGTTCTACAATTAGGTCAGCTGACGGAACGCCACCGCAAACGCGGGTCTCTTTGTAAACAGCGTGTTGACGTGTAGAAGTCACGCGGCACTTTATATACGTGCCCCTGGATACTTCCCCCGCCTCCTTCAGTGCCTGGCGAACGGCAGCAAAGAGTGCCTGGAGGGTTGGACTGAGCCGGAGTGCGACGTTCCGGCGTGCGCCGACGGCTGCCACCCCGAGCACGGCTTCTGCGAGCGTCCCGGCGAGTGCCTTTGCAAGATGGGCTGGGAAGGGGCGCGGTGCGAGCGCTGCACCCCGATGCCCGGATGCCTGCACGGCACCTGCAACGCCAGCTTCGAGTGCAACTGCCTGCCCGGATGGGACGGCTTCTTCTGCAACAGACGTGGGTTCGAGCTCGGTGTCTCGTTTCTGTATCCTCGGCCGACCCACGCGATCCCACCATGCCAATCAAAAGCGGCACCCAAAAGTGCAACGTCACGGCCACCGTTCTCATTTTGGGTTTGCTGTCGCCGGCTAATTACCAATCGCGCGAAGAAAAAAGAAAGCGTGGTGATTGGTCAAAAAGTGATTGGTTTTTAGTCGGGGAAAGCGAACACGCGAAGGCAGCGAGCACCTTTACGATGTACTATCGGGGCTGCTTTTGATTGGCTCTTTTGGGATCGTGGCGTCGGCTGCGGTCGAACTTAAAGTGAACGTAAAGTAAGGACGGAAACGAACTTAAAGCGCGTGAATCACTCGCGGAGCGGAGTTTTCCACAACGGCCTCCAACTTTGGCCTTCCAGTATTGCGGGTAGCGACCGTTGCTCTCGCAGGAGACGAGGCTGAAGGGCACCATCAGATGCCCTTCAGCCTCGTGCCGTTCACCGCGCATGAGCTGTAGTGCGCCTCAAGTGTCTCTCGAAAACCCTCGCGCGCTGCATCGTCATCGTTGTCGTGTCGTCTCCGTGTTCATTGACGCTTCAAAATAGCACGCGCGTCATAAGAAAAAAAAAAAACAAAAAACCGCCGTTACACGTATTGAATTGTCACACGCAAGTCCGAAAGTTCACAAAGCTTTCTCCTGTCATATTGCAGGGTGAGGTCTATATTTTGCGAACGCAGAGCATAGGATATTTCGTCCCGCCCCGTGCCCGGCGCTCCCCAAGGCCGTGCTTCTTCGCAGGCGCTTTGGGCATATTTGGAACATGTGACCGTTCTTCAGCCAATGAGGAGTTGGAGGAAAAGGAAAAACATTGAGGCGATACGGTAGTGTTGTTTATCTTGCGGTATACGCCAGGGTCGTATTTGGGAAACCTTGTAAACTAAGCCAACAGTACAATTTTGGCACTCTGTAATGTGCGCGTTTTCACCGACGTCACATTAAAGTTTGAGTCGATCGTTTTGATAACTCCCATATCAATGCACGATACTACGCCACTGTTTTTGCGCATGCATCGTATCGTTATCGCTCGGCTCGACTAAACACGCCTCAGTGATTCATGCGTACCTTAAGTGCGGAAGAGAAGTTTCAGGAATGCGCCCCAATCAAGGTGCCGAAATTGGCCTGTTGACCTGCTCCACAGTTTTTTCCCAATACGCGTACCCCGGCTGTCGAACGCTGGTGGGAACAGACCATTCGGGAACAGAACTCACTGTGACCTTTAAACGCGATACGGGAATTTTTATGCGGCATGAATGGCTGTGCCAAAACGCTAAGAGGAAAAATAAAAAAAGAAGCTTTTTTGAATTTGTAGGTTTTCAAAACACTCAAAATGCCTATTGCTAAACCTACGCAAGTGACAGGTTGAGAGCCCAATGGGCTCTTAACCTGGCACTGACATTAAGGAGTTTGATCAGCCTTAAATTCGATAAAATCTTACTGAGATTTAACACAACGCTGGATCTAGAAATTGGCCCCTAGCAAAATTATTGTCTCCTATTCTCTTCCAGCGATGTGCGGGGACGGCTGCCATCCAACCAGGGGCTACTGCGAAAAGCCGGGACAATGCAGGTACGAACGTTCAACCACTGAACTGCTGTACGTTAGGGGCGGAAAACATGTTGAATCAGAATGATTCGCGGTGTAAAGGTGTGATTTCGAGTGGACTGCAATGAATGGCTACCTCAATATTGACCTTTACCTTCTTATTGCTTCCCAGGGTCGGGTGGAGATCAAGTCAGTCGTCATTTCATTTTAACGGTTTTCCTCACTTTTGATGGTAGAATACGGTGAAGGATCTGAGTATGAAAACATCGGCATTGATTTATCAGATGCAAAAAAAGAAAGAGGAAAAACTGCTTAAATGAGGGATGAATATACTTTCGAGATGATGTGAGCATCTGAAACGCCGTTGTCGCATTATAATGTTTTGCGTATGTTTTACAACCGGAAGTTAGTGAGCCACCATAGTCGTCTGGTGTCTCAGCTGTTGATCGCCAGAGATAATGTTTTCGGAGAAAAAGTTTTTTTCTGCGGTCTCGTCTTTTGCTGCGCTTCATCAAACCGCGCACACAGATACAGATATGGACAAACGTACACGCACATACGCACAAACCAGACTTGTACCGTACGCATTACAAGTAATCAAATTACTTGTAATCGATTACTTTTCGGAGTAACTTTGTAATCAGTTGATTACTTTTATTAGCCAGTAATCACAAGAGTAATCTGATTACTTTTTGAAGTAATAAAATTACTTGTAACCGTTACAATTTGTCCACGGGACCCCCCCCCCCCCCCCCCCCCCCCCGGCACACGCCTTTTTTTTATGGAATGACGAAAATCAAATTTGCTTTTTTTTTTTTTTTTCGAACGGAAAAAAGAAAGATTTTTGCGGAGCTCTAGGAAACGAGGTCAATCTCTTTCTATGTACAGTTTCTGTGGAATGTCCGTTTTTGTTCTTTTTCGAGCTGGGACTGCGAGTGAGAAGCCCCAGGGAAGCCACAGTGCGTGACAAAGGACATTCAGGGCGAAGTTTGAGGAAGCAGAATGTAGCTTTGTGAGTCCTTCGTTCAAACTAGCCCCCTCACGCACACACACACACAGAAATAAGAAATAAAAAAAATCCTGCTTAGAGTACCTACTCGCAGCCCGTAGGAGAACCAGAACCGAAGAATGCCTAAAGCGGATGCAAAATATGACAAAGGCAGTTGAAATATTTCCCCGTTTCCCCTTCGTGGTCTTTGTGACAAGCAATGTTTCGACTTGAGAAGTGGCCGGGGCGATCTCTTCCGCTAATGGATACTACACATGATCCGTTTCAAATCCTGGAGCTGCTGCTCTTTTTTATAACATGCGAGCTCATCCACATGTGAATAATAAAATGAGCGACGCAAACTTTGAGCGACAACCCTTGCTCAAGCTTAACAAGATCTAGAACCCCCTCCGCTCTTCCCCCCCCTCCCCCCCCCCCCCCCCCCCCCCCCACACACACACACACACTGGCGAACGCCCAAATCATTAAACGTCTTCAAACGAATTCTATGCTTGTGTCCGCATTGAGAAGGTGCAACGACCACGAAGAGGGAGCCAGTTTTTCTTCTTCAATACTTGTGCAAATGTGAAATATAGGTTGGAAGTAGTTCATTGTTATGAGCGCTAAAGATGTGTCTTCATGCAATGAAGTAATCGGAAAAGTAACGATTCCTTCTTTAAGTAATGTCCAATTACTTTTGCCGTCGAGTAATCAAGTAATCTAATCGAATACTTTTTAGCCAAGAGTAATAGTAATTGTAATCGATTACTTTTTTTTAGTAACGTGTACAAGACTGGCACAAACACATGCACAGACACAAAGACAGCTGGCAGCTCCGCTGTTAGTAATTTTCTTTGACCCTGTCTGTACAGTGGAATGCATTCCGATGAGGTTCGGATAAAGGCTAGGTCTCGCTTAAAGCTTGGCTCCCGCCTTTTTCTCCGCAGCTGTCGGTTCGGGTGGCAGGGCGAGAAGTGCGACCGTTGCAAGCCGCTGCCGGGCTGCCTGCACGGCCGCTGCAGCAAGCCCCTGGAGTGCCTCTGTGACGACGGCTGGACGGGCATCTTCTGCCACATACGTACGACCCTCCCTGCACACATCGCTCTCAGGGGCCGTCTGCTGGACAACAAGGCCACAGTGCTAGTTTTGATACATCGCCAACGGAATGCCGTCTCGGGGCACACATTGGACACAAGTGCCGCGTCAGCGGCCGCCTGGGACTTCGCGCATTGAACAACAGTCCTAGCCTTACGCCGACGCTGACTCGTGTCTAATATGTTTGCCCCCGCTGGCCTTCGGTTTGTGACGTAGCAAAACTAGCCCTACGGTCATCTAGCTAGGAGGCGCTGGGGTGGGCGTCAGAGCGATGGGGGTGGCGTGGCGCCCTTCGGTTTGTGACGTAGCAAAACTAGCCCTACGGTCCTCTAGCTAGGAGGCGCTGGGGTGGTGTGGCGCGTGATCACAGGCCGTTTGCTTTACTGAAGGGGCTGACAAATGAAAGGATTAAAGCAGCAAACTGGGTAACACGTAAAATGTAGAAAAATAATATTTTATCTACTTCCTTCCAGGGTACTTAGGGAGCTGGTCAGTGATAAAATGGGGCGTGGCAGGTGAGGGGTCGAAATTATGCCGAGACCTGTATATTAACTCTGGGGTGACGCCATGTAGGACGTTCACACGCTCTCGCGTCCCACGTTGTGATAACCCAGAGTTAATGTTGAGATCTAAAGGTAGCAGTGACTGGCTCTACCAGTGTTCTTCGTCGCTCTCGCCGGGAACTCATAATTTTTCTCTGTCCAGCGGTCTGCTCCTCCAAGTGCCACTACGAACACGGCTACTGCGCCAAGCCCAATGAGTGCAGGTGAGTCTCCAAGGTGCCTTGTGGCGCTCTACAGCTTAGACGTGCACTCTTTTTTAAAAGAAATGCAATGACGCTACTTAGTGACACAGATACGTAAAATCTTAAGTAGCACAGTCTTTTGGGTCAAACTTTTGTTTGTTTCTGGTAGTTTAGTGCTCCGAGGGACAAACTATAACCAAACTTTATAATTTCTCCGGGCCAGAGTCTAGGTAGTTTGGTAATAATTTGCCAAAGAAGTGGTAGAGTTAGGCCCAAGAACCTGATTGTCCGGTTGTCATTTGGCAACTTTGAGCCTAAATTGCCAAACAAGTCCCACAATTAAGCTTCCCTGCTTGTTATTCGGCTGACATGTGCCATTCTTGGCTCATTCTGGTAATTTGTCAATTATGTAATGAACAAAAGAACAGCCGTAGAAATTTCGATGTAATCAGGCACTATCTAACGCATTAGATCAAAATGTTGCTAGGCCCAAGTTAGGCCCCTAGTATTGTCAAACTTGGGCTAAGTTAGGCGCTTTTCTGTTGCGTTGCGTGGTATAATATGGGCCAAACTAAAAAATTGCCTTATGAACGACATCCATGTAAGTGAAAGAATAAACATTTGTTAGAAAGAAGAAAGAAATTGTCTTCGTTGCTGACATGCATCTTTTGTTAAAATACAGTCTACAAGCGCCCACGGTGTCATTTTTTGACGATATTAGGTTGAAGTGGACGTCGATCTGCTCGTTCAGAAATTTGGTCTTTCTTTCTCATCTTCTGATTCAGGTAGCATCATGCTCTAACTTTCGCGTTCTATTACCACCGGAAGCATCGCATTCCACAGAGCCGAAAAAAACAACCAACACGGTTTTTGTTTTCCCACGAACACCACTTGTAAAGAACGAACAACATTGAATGTTCATTCAGGAGCTTTTTACTCGTTTAATTTATCACCAGGTGCCGCGTCGGTTGGATGGGCGAGCAGTGCGACCAGTGCTGTCCGTACCCTGGCTGCCGGCACGGAACCTGCACCAAGCCCTGGGAGTGCCACTGCCAACCTGGCTGGGGAGGATCGCTGTGCGATAAAGGTGGGTTCAGGCGGGCCATCATCTATCTATGCGGAACTAGCAGAAATTCGTCTGCTTCTTGCACATGGGTTGCGACGACGCCAGAACGGCGAGCTCCGATTGATTCGGATTGGGGAAGGTAGTGGGTAGCCCTCGAGGAAGCTGCAGCATTGAGGTCCGTCCACTATCCTTCCAATCAGAGTCAGTCAGAACTCGGAGCGTTCTGACGTCAGTGCAATGCCTGCGTAAGAAGCAGGCTAACTTGCGCTCCGCACGCTTCGTTTTATGCCAAGCCCGGTCGCAGCCAATGCTGCGGTCCCATGGGGCCAATCAAGTGTCCCAAAAAGTACACCGTCGCGGCTCTACGGTCGTCCTTGCGCGCTTGCTATAACCGGCTCGACCAATCACGCCCGTACAAAAAAAAATATCGAAGGATTACGCCGCATTTAGTATGCGCAATTTTTTTTATAGCAAACGCAGTAACTATGTACTTTTGGTAGTGCTTGACTGGCTCTATGCGGACCGCAAGTTCGTCTGCCTATTTTGCGGGGGTTGGGGTGACGTCAGAATGCGAAGCTCTGATTGGTTCTGAATGAAAGACAGTGGGTGGATCTCGACGCAGCTTGCTTTGAAGTTTATTCACTTTCCTTTAATCAGAACCAATCAGAGCTCGGCGACTTTCTGACGTCACCGAAACTCTTGCGCAAAGAGCAGACGCTCTCCGCTTTGGGTCGTGGTGCCGGCAGCCTTCGCACTTAATCTGAAGCAAAGAGTAACGAAAGACGCCGAATTCAGCACCTCCCTAGAAAACCGCGCAGCGCATCGTATAAATCATGGTGTAGCCTTTTGATGCCTTTTGATTTTAGTGCAGAATTGCACTAAAATCAAAAGCTACTTATTTTAGGGTCTATTTTGGGGGGTCCTCGCTTAGGAACAGCTCAGGCGCATGCGTGCTGGTGGACATTGATTCGTTTTCTGAGTGCCCGATTCTGCGGCACAAAAAACAAAACTTTAAGTCGAATGAAGAGACACAGAAAGAAGGACGTTTCAAACTCAGCTACTTTCTTTGCTTCCACGGATCCTGATACACCCAGAAATCTACGGTTGACAACAGCCATCACTTAACTTCCACAAAGAGACATACAGTTACAACAAGAGCAGGTTACCAGACATGGAACGCACCCCTGTAACTCAAACAATGGTCACTTAAAGATGCACAAAAACTAACCTTCATCCCCAATCCCCTCTTAAAATCGAACAATGAATCCGACCTTCACAAAGAAGGACTAGTAGATTTAGGGGCGAAGCTCCTTAGGGTCTAGCCTTGTCCGGCTGGCGTCCGTGCTCACATCACTCTTGCTGGTGCTCGTGCTCGTGAGCTCACGTGCTCACGTGCTCGTGTAAAGGAAAAAAAAAAGAAATGATGAAAAAAAAATGTTTGCGCAGTCTACAGGATTCGAACCTGTGCGGGGAGATACCAATGGATTTCTAGTCCATCGCCATAACCGCTCAGCCACGACTGCGGGACGAGTAGCGGGCTCTGAGATGTGGTAGTAACTCAAGAGCTGGGGATGTCATGGATGAAGCGTTGCACGTAGCCGCTCAACGTCTAGACAGGAGAGGGCGCCGCGGTCAAATCCGTATCTAATCGCGTTAACTTTGCATGCATTAGCTCAAAGTTTATAGACGAGAGGGCGCTGGGGTCAAATGCTCAAATGCGTATATAACTATACCACACATTCTCTTTCTGACATGGATGAAAACGAAGGAAAGGCTCGGCATGCTGCGGAGCAGCGTCTACGCAGACAAGCACCACCAGAGCTTTGCCCCAATCAACATCATTCAGCACGTGGAGATGCGGTCAATTTTTAAGACTGACTTCGTAAAAGCCCTGCCGTCTTCTAAACTTGCTCGCCTTGCGGACAGCAACATCGAGAAGCAACTGTTAAGTTAAAACAAGGGACTTAGATTGAAACGTGTGTGGTTGTTGTAACGCGTGCGTGCAATGTGGATGAATCCTTTAATAGATAATAATAATAAAAGTAACCCCGCTCCTCCCGGTTCCTGGCTCACAGTACATTCGGCTTGTCTGAATCACCCACAAAAAACAGGAATATGGTAAAACGCTAAGATTTTTAAAGGTGAATATATCAACGAATGGAACCTACTTCCGGTTGTTTTCTTCTCCTGGCGTCCTTCCATCGAAGCATTCAAGTTCTCATGCTGCCATTTGATGGGATATGTCTATATATAAAAAACCTTCGTTTGAACTAAGTGAATATGGTAATTAGCAGAATACAAAAATAATGTATATTTAACGATGACTTCCATTTTTTTAAATGGTAACGGGAACGAGTTTCTTTCTCACCGATGAAACTTGTAACGGGAACGCGTTGCAAGAAAACCAGAAGGGACGGGGAATAGGGTGACCAACCGTCCCGCGACTCGCGGGACTGTCCCGCATTGAGGGCTCGTGTCCCGCGTCCCGCGAGAAAGTCCCAAATCTACAAAATGTCCCGCATTTCACATGGTCGTAACATTCACTACGCAAATTATGGCGCTTCCGAACAACGGGGTACGAGGAAGGCGGAGGTCACTGGTAAGCATGTGAATCTTCATTGTTATAACATTTTCTATCTAAGCGCTGCGGGAAGCGACCGTCGTTCTTGCAGGAGTGCGACACGTATGCGCCAATGAGCCTCTCCCCTTGATGGCAAAATATTGCAAGCGAAAATTGCTCACAAAAAGTTGAAAAATAAACTGTTGGAATTATTTGCAAATCCTACTTTGTCATGCAAAAGAATTGTTTAAAGAAGTTTTTTTATTTTTTTTTTGTAAAAACGGCTGCACAAGGCAAAAAGCCTGGAACTCCCAACGGCCGAAAAAAATAACACAAGGTTATAATTTTATGTAGGAGCATGTTTGTATAAGAGTATAAGTATCGACAGGAAACAATAAGCCGAAAAAATATTTACTGTTTCTTAGTTCCTTTTGATGCATTGGGGTCTGCTGGAGTCGATTTTTATGTTTTTAACTCAGACAGCTTTAATAAAATATTTACCATTACAATTGCCGCAACACAATTTTCAGATGTATAATATTATTTCGGACAGTACATGATTTTAAAGTGTGCGCGCTGATGAATTTTCTTTAATACTTTCTTCTTCAGTCGTAAAAATGACGTCCTCGACTTCTTACCCCCCCCCCCCCCCCCCCGGAAAAGGGGGGGGGGGGGGGAATCAGGGAGTCCCGCATTATGACGGCAGGAAGGTGGTGCACCCTAACGGGGAACGAGCTTTCGTTCCACTTTTTGAGGAACGTGTACAACACTGCCGAGGTTTAACGTTGAAATTTAATTGGTGTATAGGTCACGTGACAATAGGTCATGTCACTTCAATGTTTTTTTTAAAATATTTAGTGGGGACACTATATAGGTGCATAAGTCTCGTGATGTCAGGTCACGTGATATTAAATTTTACGCTAAATTTAGCGGCGGAAAGTGAATTGGTGTATAGGTCACGTGACTTCGGGTCACTTGGAATAAATTTCCCCGCCGACTTTGGCGATAAAACTTAGTTGGCGAATAGACCACGTGATGTTAAGTCACGTGCCCTAAGCCCCAATTTAGTTTCTCCGCTAAATTTAGCGGGAAATTCACGGACAGGTATAATTTGGGGATTGGGTGCCCCGTACTAGAAAGCATGCTTAAAAAAGAGTGTTTATTTTTAGATAGTTTGCACCAGGTGCATAAAGTCCGCTCACAGTTCATAGTGCGAACCTGGTGTCTATATTCCGCACGTAAATATTGTACATAACCCACCTCGACAAATCCCTCCTTTATTAGGTGACAAAGGAGATTGTGTCACGCACAAATCATCATTACCATACTCTGTCATTCACGTAATTCGTCAAGGCTTCTCATAATGAACGACCTGGAAAAAACAACATATCCACGTATGGTCCGCACCTGTAGACAGCCCGCACATGGTAAATTTTAAACTTTTATACATGTATAGTTGACGGCCTACGGTCCAGAAAGGAAAAAAAAAAAAAGAAAAGAAAAAGAAACGATGCTAAGCTTTTGGGACGGTTTCAGAGCTGAAGTTCTGCGAGGACCACTCGCCGTGCAGCGAGGGTTCGACCTGCGTGAACAAGGCGGAAGAGGACGGCTTCTACCAGTGCCTCTGTCCGGACAAGCTGGCCGGTAGGAACTGCACCGTACCGGTCAGGAGGAACAAGTTTCTCTCGGAACACGCCCTCTTCGGAACCACGTCTTCCAGAAACAAGTTCTTTTAGTGACGCCGAGGAATCGGCCTGGATGCAAGCGGTACCAGCTACAAGACAAGGCCAGCGCACGACGTCATCGCTTGTGGACCTCCGACCAGCTCCCAATGGCGCCATTGCCATTGGGCGCGGGTCGGATTGGCGTCGCCGCGTGCATGCGTTGTCGCGCTCATAGCAACGCGCCGCAAGACTAGCGGATGGCGTCGCTGACGCAAACTAGGCGACACTGCGTGAATGTTTAAGCGATGATGTTTACGGGGGAGGAAATGTGAGGCCTTGCCTTCTACTTGGTACCGACGCACGGCGTCTTCCGTAACGGCCGCATTTCTACAAGAAACCCTTTTCCAACGCCGGTCCTGAAACGCCGAGCTCTACGTGCGAGCCATCGGTAGACAATCACTATGATCATCCGCAGTTGTGATGTGAGATTAGATTCCGATAATGAGAAACGCGAAAATGCTTTTCATTCCGAGGGGATTAGCCAGTAAAATTGAAATGCTGGCAAGCTGGCAAGCTGCGCATTACCAGATGTGGGAAGTCTGAAAGCCGATGGGTTATTGAACATGTCCTCCATTTTGTATATTTGAAACTCAAGAAAGCGATGTCCTCACTTAATAGAATAAGCCTAAAACTATGCCCTTTGTGTTATTGCGAAAACAATTATGGAGGGTCAGAGGCCTTGTTCCGCTGCACATTCCCAGTAAAATTGCTTAGGGGCCCAAGTAACCTGGAACTTATGCAACTTAGCAAACAACGTTGAAAAACGTTATCCCACTAATCCTTACAACCACCAATTAAACGTGCAGTCGTGGATACAGGTTTTAGCAAGGAGGATATATAGAAGGAGTACAATTATAGCACATGACAAAAAAGGTAACAAAACCTGGCGCGCGTCGCAGACGGCCAACTCGAGGGTTCCACTGTTACGATAAGTACAGAACTCATCACATGGCCGTCTGGGTTGAGAAACGTTGAACCACGCACGCTTTTAAAGTCCACTAAAATACCAGCAGTCATGAACGGCAAAAACGCTACGATTTTGATGCTGCTTTCGTGCAGTAACATTCATTATGATGGTAACTCATAAGTGAACCGTCGGAGCTGTCTGGACGAGCGGACCGGGACTGTTAAAAGTGGTTTTAGCCAAGCTTGAGATTACTCCTTCATTGTCTTTTGCTTGTCGCGTCCTCTACCCACCAATAATCTAATCATTTTATATATTTGTTATCATTAAATATATGCCCAATTCTCGTCGGGTACATTCAAGAAGCGATACGATAAACGTGCCAGTATATTTCCCCATGCTTGCTGAATTTACACAGAAGATACCGCTTGGTCGTCTGCGAACGCTCAGTATGTGTCACTTGTGAGCCCACAGTAAGTTCAGTGGGGGCGCTGCAGGTCAGAAAACGATCGATGTAGCTTGTTTGAACTCTTTCGAAATTGTTCTCTTAAATTTTTATTGCACATTATATTTTTTTGTTTTTCAGTGATTTTGTTTGTGGGATTGTTATGATTGAACGGGAATTCGTAAATGGTTTCTTTAGATGCGGTGCTTATGCTGTGTCAAATTGCGTGAATGATACACCACCATAATTTATTTGTGTTTGTAGCGACGACAGTGCCATTTAAGTTATTGAAATGTCGAGTGAAGCGTCGGAAATCGATTGCGTCTCATGAGGTACAAGTTTCACTTTTGTAAATAACCACTCGTTCGGGAATGATCATCTGTTTATCTTATTTATTTACCGGTAATGTAGCCTCGAACAGACATTATACGCTATTTTTAGCGCCCTCCATGGTGTTTTATATAATAGAACTTTGGAAACAGAGGGCTGTCCTTTTTTACACTTCTGAAATAAATTTGTATTTGATTGAATTCTACATTGTCTACCCATTTGACTTGGTTTTGTTGCAAGTGTATCTTTGAGAATGCTTTGTTGAGATATTTTGGCTTCAACGACCTAGGCCGCGAATAGTTTGGGTGGCAGATTCACCGAATCCGGGATACTAATAAAATCATTCAGCGATCTATATGGATGATTTCACATATATTTATATGAATGATTTCATCTCAAATTGTGCAAGAAAAATGGTGGGTCATCAAAAAAATGGACAAAACAAAATGTTGATGGAAAATGTTTGACTAAAATAAAACTGCAAATTACAAGTACGGAATGCTTTTTCTTCTCGAGTTTTGGGCTTCGAAAGGGCAAAAGGTACACCTTGCCATATTTGCAGTTTTTACCAGTGACACAATTTGGGATCTCAAAATATTTAGATTATTTTTTTTTCAGAACAATTATATCAGTTATTTTTTTTTTTGCTTTAAGAATTCGTATAGACGGGTTAACGATTTGTAGAAGTGTGTTTTTTATTTTATTTTATGAAATAAAAATTCTGAAATCTTGCACCTTTGGCAATAATATGCCATGCTTGAATCGAGCTAGCTTTTGATGTACAATTATTTGAAGCATAAGAGACATATCAAATGAACGCTTGTAACTAAGCCAATGTAAAACATAATATTGTTAATTTAGGTGTGGTTTAAATTGAAGAAACACCTGATAAGAAATGATAAATGTACAAAATTCAACGCATCTAAAAAAACGAATTTAAAATTTTTAAAGAATAATTCTATATGACAATTTGTTTGTGTTCTTATTATGCAATGAAATTGTTTTGACATATATGGTTTTATCTTAGTAATTAGTGCGTTTGAACAGATATTTTTACCTCCCACCTAAGATGGAGGAGATATGGGCCCTTGCCAAATCGTTTAATCAATTACTATATATATGCGTGTAATGTGACCATAGTATATATAATATACCTCATGCACCATTTAATAAAAATAAGGCATGACTGGCACCTTATAATTAAAAAAATGTCAATGCACATGTCCAGATAACTTATGAAATCTTAAGATTCACATGTTTTCATTAAGTAAATTTATTAAAACGTCTTTTTTTATTTAACAAGAATCAAAATTAGTTTTCAAAAACCTCTATGTTAGGCACTTAAGGAACGAGGTAAATTATTTTCAGAAAGCTATAAGGTTGATTGCGAAATTTTTCTTCGTTTATGCGGCCGGATTTTCAGGTGTACTGGCGAGGCCCGTTCAAAACTTGTTGACTTGTTTGTTTTTATTTCAGCAATAACAAAGAATACAGATAAACGAGGGAAATATTTCATAGCACTTTTATTGTTTAAGGTCGCAGTAACGTTTATAAAATGAAATGAAATTTTAAGTCAGGTTAACATTATTCTTGAGGATTCGCTTTTTTATGACATGCCTGAAAGACCCGTCTCTATTTTGAGTCTTCATCCATAAGTGGCAGGATTAATGGTTTTTCACCAGACTCAAAAATTCTATTCTTTTCTCACTGCGTCATGGTATTGGGCGGGGCATGCTGGTTCACTCTTGTTGAGTACAATTCCAGGCCAGGTACGTATCCAGGTTGGGAGGCCCGGGCCTCCCCCGAAATCTTCCTTTTTGCTGGGGCATCCTCTTCCCCATCCCCCTCATACAGCATTATGTCATGCGAGGAATTCATCATTAATTTTGTGGTGGCCTTGCACACTGTACCTTTCGGTTTGAAGATAATTGCATTTGTTTTACTTTCATTATTTTTCAGAGAATTGGAGAGAGTTGACCAACTAAGTTTTTCAAGGCATATATTTGCACCGGTAATTAAACTATCAATGTATTTTCCCGAAAAAAAAAATATACTGGTATCATCTGCCTAAGTCACAAATGAGACTTTTCTTGTGATAGTAATTATATCAGTTATAAATAGGTTAAACAGCAATGGCCCCAAGACACTACCTTGAGGTACTTCTGTCCGAACTGCTTTCAGCATTGAAGAATATCCGTTTAATTCAACAGTTTGACGCCGCAAACTCAAGTAGCTTTCTATAAGAGCCAGGGAATGCCCTCGAATTCCATAAGAATATAGTTTTTCTAACAGAACTTAATGACTCAGCCGGTCAAAGGCTTTAGAAAAATCAATAAGTATTCCTAAAGTTAGACACTTGTTTTCAAAATTGTTTAAGATAATTTCCTTTTTTTGTAAAAGTGTCAGTTCAGTAGAGCGATCTTTTCGAAAACAATACTAAGAATCTGTAAGTAGCATATTTTTCAGAAACGTTATTAAGCCTAACATGAATAACTTTCTCTAAACCCTTCGAAAAGACAGGCAATATTGAGATCGGTCTGTAGTTGGACATATTATTTTTGTCTCCCGACTTGTATAAGACAGGCACCTTAGCTATCTGCATACCTTTAGAAAAAACACCAGTCGAGAGCGACGAATTAAAGATATGTGTAAGACAAGGCGAGATAATTTCAAGCACGTATTTTATTGGCTGCACCTGCATTCCATTAAAATTGGTACTTTACTGTTTTTGAGGTTCAGAAATGCCGAGCTTACCTCGCTCTCGACTTTTGACATTTCCCGCATGAGGCGAGCAGCGTCTAGGCCTTGCAGAAACTCTCATCGGCCTCGTGATTTCAAACAAACTCCTGATCTTTGCAAAGAAGTCGCCACAGTGGCTCCACCACATCTGCATAATAAGGAAGAACATGGGAATAATATCTCACTAGTCCGAGAAAGGAACGCAATCCGACCGAGTCGTTGGTGCTCGTGCATTGAGGATTGGCACCCCTTTTGACTTGAGTGGTGCAAGCCCCCTTGCACTGACGTGGTGGCCCAAAAATGAAAGCTCTTCACACCAAAGAGGCACTTCTCATTTAGCTGAAGGCCCGGAGTGACGGTCCGTCACAGCACCTCACACAAGTGACGAATGTGTTCTTCCTTAGTTTTCCCAAAGACATATATCATCGATGTAGAAAAGCACGCCGTTGTAACCCTTCAGAATAGTCTGCGTCATCCGCTGAAACGCGGCGGGCGCCGATGCCAGTCCGAAGCAGACGCGGCGAAACTGGAGCAACCCTTCATACGTAACAAACGTCGTGATCGGTCGGCTATCTTCTGCCAATTCCACCTGGTGACAGGCGGATGCGAGGTCCAGTTCGGAAAACCATGCTGACCCACTGAGAGCGTGCAAGAGTTCCTCAGTGAGGGGCAAAAGAATTCTGTCGACGACTACCGACTTGTTTGACTCCCTTGTTTGACTCCCGTAAATCTACACAAAGACCGAATTGCT